AGATGGGTCGATGTCAATTTTTGCCTTCTTCACCTGCTTCGCTACCAAGTCTACCAATTCCATCACTTCGTTGCAAATTGGCATCAAATCCAATGGAAGATTGTCGAGGGTCGTTGCAATTGTTCGTACTAGAGTCCAAAATTGACTCACCAAGAACTTCAGTTTTATCAGAACCTATAATCTACCTTTTTCCATTGAGCCAGAAAGACAAGTACGGTGGAGTCATGCTATGATCCTTCACCAATGTCTTCTCCATTGTTCTCCTTTACAATTCTTTTTCCTCATCTTGTTGATTACAAACTTTTTAATATTTTTTCACTGAACAAGTGTGAAGGATCTGGTATTAGGAACAATTGAATCCTTTTTAATTCCACTTTTTTAAAAGAGAAGTCAGGTAAGCTAATAACGTTGCAAGTCACATCGTTCGACCCACGACTATCGATCCAAATATTATTATTCTTTTAATAATAATAATATATTTTAAAATTATAATTACAACATTTTATAACAATTTCAATGCAATTTTAATGATCATAACTACAAAAAGCACTTGCAGCCCCTTTTACATGAACAAAAGTGCACTAAAATCTTGGCCATAATCAAGGCTTTGGCCATAATCAAGGCTTTAAGATTCGTTTGAAAATAATTTTTATAAACTATTAACATAATATTTTATTTGGAAATAAAAATTTAATATTTAAATACAAATGATACTTTCAGACATTGAAACTAGACTAAAAGTAATGCTCAATGGAGATATGATAAAAACTAAAGACTTTATTTGATTTAATTACTTCAAACAGCTTATAATAAATAGTAAATATTTAATAATTGATATTTTTTATCATTTATATTCTAAACACTATTAATTATAAAATACTATCTATTAAGTTATTTGAAACATCAAAATAAAATGATTTTATTTTGCTATTTAGACTACATTAAATTATAGAATATACATTATTAAATAAAAATTTTTAACACCATAAGATTTAATTTTAAATTAATAATTAATATTATATAGTTAAATATAATATAAACTCAACAAAAAATTTTCCTTCAAAGAGATGGAGCAACAAAATTTTGTCGATTCTCCCTTGCAAAAACATTTCACGAGATATTTTCAAGACCAAGCCAAAGGACAATGCGGTACTTCTCCCAAGGGCATATTTGTCCTTAAATTTTCTACTTAAAACATTTTTTAAGGAACAAAATTAAACACATCCCATTGACAAATGCTTATTTTTAATTCTTTACCATAATGAATTTATAAATTTTAATGTCTCACTTTATATTATGATACTTTTAACCTCTTACTTATTCGAATTGAAGAAAATAGCTTTATTTAATGTCCTATTAGCTGATATTAATTCTATTAGTTGATTGTTAATTTTGTTAACTGACTATTAATTCTATTAGTTGACTGTTAACTTTGTTAATTGATTGTTAACTCTGTTAATTGACTATTAACTTTATTAATTGACTGTTAACTCTATTAACTGACTGTTAACATTCTGTTATA